ATCTTCAAAGTGCGCACCATTAGCGTTCAAACACCATCGACAACGACGAATCCAGTTGTCACAAACTGACTGAAAAAGGTTTGGTTGTTGTTGAATTTGGTCTGCTGCAGCGAAAATACAAACTACAATTTCGGAGGTCATTTCCGTCTTGAATTTCACGTCCATTGACACAAATTCGAACCAAGTCGCGAAGCTGGTTCGAATTTAGACGGACCAAGCGATGGCTGTCACGTCACCGGTTTGCAATCGAAAACGGTTGGTTCTTATTTGGTTGGCCTTGAAGACGGACCAAAGCGAATCAAAAACAACCAATGTGAGCAGGGGCGCCATCATGAAGATACCTACCACATGTTAGCCCGCTGTTCTAAGGGGATAGTTTCCAATAATGGGGGCAAATTATCAAGTAGAAAAGCTTAGTATATACCATGCTATTGAATCGTAGTGGAAGTTCAAAAGCAAAAGGTCCAACCAAACTGTTTCCAAGAATTCCTGCCCAAATATTTATCTCAAATCTTTGTTGAAATCAATACTATATGGATTTTCTTATGCCTAGGTGTGAGTGTTGTGATAATTTAAAATTGCATCTCTTGTAAAGCAACACTCATCACCAGATAGAATAGATTGTACAAAATTCATTCCGATCTTTGGATTTTTGGAAGAAACCATTCACAAAAATGAACTCTGCCTGGAAAATATCCAGGAGACATTGCCTGTACACGCTGTACACAATACGGGTATCTAAAGCAAATTTTGTCGGAGGGTCCGATGAACTCTTGCATTAGTCTAACTTGTAAGGCAATGGATCGAGTTCTTATTCCAGGGCTATCTTCCGCTGTCGCTAAAATCTGTTCTTCATTGGCAGGTGTAATTTATCTTGCAGGTCTCCGATTAACATTCTGCACACTTACACTTCCCGTATCACGCAATCTTTACAAAACGGACACAAATGTTCTTTCACTAGATGCCGTCCTCTCAGGAAATCTTTCCCTGTAAATTCTGGTGGCTTAATGAGCATTTTGTAACGATTCTCTGTAAACAAGTAACATATCTGCCTGTATATTCGACGTTTGTAAACATTCCATTTTCAAAAAATAATGAATTAGGCGCGTTTTCAATACTTCAAGTAACTGACGAATCAATAATCAATTTTCGGTTCAACTACCTGAACCACCTATTCTTTTTTCTGCTATGTTGCCAGATGTTTAGAAACCGAATTACGAGTAACATTGTCATGTTATTTTTTAAATTTTTAATTATTGCTTTTGACTAAAAATGCATAATTACATAATAATTAAATGAAATTTTTTTAGATCTCCTAATGAATAAAATTTTCTTCATCTTTCAAATATTCTTCAAAATATGTCAAAACTTCAAAGACCTTTTTCTTAAAAATGGTTGAGTTTGCCGCAAAGCCGAGTATTGGTAGTCTAAACACAGTTTTACAAAATCTATACATGGTGTTCCATATATAATGGGCAATTTACGCGTTTCTAGTTTGTCATACCAGATATTATGTGGTACCTTTAACAAATATTATATAAGTGCCTTAAAATATGTTTAAATCATGAGCAAACCATATTCCAATTCGAATGAAGCAAAGACAGTAGGCAGCTATTGAAAAAAACTGACCTAATAATCATTATACACGATCGTTCTTTTTTTTACTTCTCTGCCGCTTACTCTAACGGTAGCGACAGAGAACGTTCCACTTCTGTAAGTATTTAACAATAAAATTTTCACGTTTGGATAAATAAATATTATCGGCGCGACTAATCTAGACCATAGACCGTTGACTCATTGTCGATAAAAACAATAGGAAGAAAATAAAACATTTAAATTGACAGAAGAAAGTGGAAAGTATTATAATAATTATGTTCATAATGATCACGTTGATATCTGCTGAAGGTAAAATTTATGCTGGGTAATTATATGGAATGAAATTGAATGATAAAGGCTTTCAGCTCACGATTGGTTTTATAATGAGATGCATATGAAAGTCTGTACGGCGAATGTACAAGGCCTTTACGAAAACTTTTGAAAAGTTTTAATTTTTATACTTATACTTTCTATGGATTGAGAAAGTGAATCCCTTATTATCAATTGGCCAATAGAAGAGGTTAAATTCGTTTATAAGTTTTAATAACTTTTGAATAACCCTAATTTATTTCTACCTACACAAAAAGAAAACAATACAAGGAAGATGGGTTTGAGAAAACCCCAATAGAGAGAAATAAAATACTAAAGAAACAATAATGCCCCACAACAGAGATATTAATAGACAGCAAAGAAAAATTCCAAGACTGAATGAACAAAAAATTGGAACACTGAAATAGTTCGACAAGAATGGAAATTGATAAATTTTCTTACAACAAACACAAAGGAACAGAAAGAAAAAAAAATGTCCAAAACACAAAACAAAAAAATTGGCTCAGGCACAATAAGATTACAAAAAAAGAAGACGAGACATGAGCAGAAACGATCAAGAATATAAGAAATTGAATAAAGAAATCAATAAGAACCTGAAAGAAGGTTCAAGAGATCACAATACAAAATTCGAAAACAATAGAATCAAGTCTGTTCGAGGTTCTCTTTTTCCTAGAAAAACAAGCTTTAAAGCCCAATTATTATTCGAAACTTGAAATTGTCATCCAAATTATTTAAAATTCTGTTCATTCAATGTATCAATGTTGTTTTTTGCATGAAATTTACTTCAAGCTAAAAGCTTGGGAATTTCGGTTTTCCCTGCCAAAGAAGTAGAAAAGTATGTTAAAACCGTTATTCTGCTACAATTGAGCATTCTTTTTGAATATTGTTTGTAGGTTTTTATACACTTCTGTAATAATCGAGTGTCGAGTTAAAGATGATCTAATTGAAACGAATTCAGAGCCATTCCTATTGCCTATTGTTACATAAATTAGTTCTCTTTAAAGCCTGGTTTTGTTTATGAATAATAGGTACATCAAATATTATGTAATTAGCCAAAATATTCTCATGCCTTTTGCAATTAGAAGGCAAATTGAATTAGCTCATCCATCAAGAGTGTGGGAGAAATAATTTTTGTCTTATTTTGAACCAGGAACTTTATAATAAATAGCCTTAATTAGGAGCACATTCATTTTTATTTCGGAAACGATTTGGTTCGAACAGATGATAGGTAATAGACCGTCAGATAGTGACATATTTAGGTGCCCCATTTTCGCATACAAGCCTCGAAGACGGTTGAAAAGTACATCGATTTTGAGTAGGATGAAGGTATTTCTACCAGTGGCTCCTGGGGATAACGTATGGAAAATTCGATTTTCCCTAACAGAAATGGAAGACGTCCTGGTGCCCATATTTTCTCGCAAGCCGTGTTCAGCAAAGAATTAATTAATTGAACCTGGCTTCGTAAAACAAAGAAGGGGGTGTTCCAGGTGGCTAAAGGTTTGAAATAAGGGGGTAATCTTGTAAGGAAAAATCGAGATTTTGGGCGATTATTCCACACAAGCCCATCGGAAGGATGAAAATCTACAACGTCGGTAGCGAGAAAACATATTGGTTTGAGTGTCGCAAATGGAAAATTACATTTTAGGGTAACATAAGTAAAATCGAATTTTCCATATATTATCCCCAGGAGCCATTCGTAAAAAAACCTTCATCCTACTCAAAATCGATGTACTTTTCAACCCTCTTCGAGGCTTGTATGCGAAAATGGGACACCTAAATCTGTCACTATCTGACGGTCTATAATACTTTGACTTAATTCAATACCTACCTATTTGAAAAAATCATGATTTGGTTTGTTAGGATTCCTTTTAAATAGAAATTAAAACCATAAAACTTTCTCAGTTTTATTGTCACTATTTTTTTATTTTAAAATTTAAATGTATTTAGAATACAATAATAATTTCAACTTTCGCTATTTAAATGTTCATAGGTTCTTTTTTTTCTATAATAAGCAGATTGCAAGCATTAATAATTTCTTTACGTATCCTATATCAACCTAGAAACATTGAATTTCTCTTTGTCTCAAGTGAGATATAAATCAAAACCAGTTTACCAGTAGCCAGCATTTGACAATAAATAATAGAAATGAGCTTTTCTAATACCGTTAGTTATTATCACAATTAATAGTTTATGATTTATTAATAAGTTCATACATCTGTTTATCTTGGTTAAATTTCTACTACAAATGGACAAAAAATGTAGCTTTAAAGGAAAAAGAGTATAATTGGAGAAAATGTTGCTTTAAGAAAACAGGGTTGACCACTTGAATATTTATCGTTTTATACCTAATAAAACTATTAAAGTTCATTGCGATGCAGTTATGACATTTAAATCTATTTCATTATGGAAGATAGAAGGTTAAAATACGAAGGTAAAGAGATCGTACCAGCCATTTGTAGAACTGTAACATCGTGAGTCTCACCTATCGCCCCAAGAAAACCATAGTATTTGAGTTATTGCTAAATGGCGCTCCCGCTCATTCTGCCTTTTACAATATGGTATAAAAACTTGATTCAAATTGGCATAATTATTATGAGAATTTGCTACTAGCCATAGAAAGTACCTATGCAGAACTATTCTTTGAAGGCTTGCTCTGAGTAATTTGTTTAGAGCAACTAGGGCATCTTAGCTGGAATTTCAAGCTCTAAAAGACAAATATCAGGTTTAAGGGCTCGTCAATTTCAATATACTCAAGTATATTTTTCAAATATATATTTGCTCGTTTATTCATGGGGGTAGGAATTGCTATAAGATATCTACTCTTCTTGGCTAGTTGATAAGCGAGGGCAACCTTTCAGTAGAGCATAGGTGTATAGGTGCAGTACTATTCTATATTGAATATCCCTCTGTCATTGAAATTATAAATAGTCAAACAAACCCAAAATTCAATATTCAAAATACCAAAACATCAACCGCAAAATACATACGTTATTCACCTCTCGCCATTTGACCGTCCTCATTTACAATAACACTGAATGCTAATCAACAAAATAACTTTATTAATCTTTTTGCAGGCCGGAGAAAGCTGTTGCTGCAGCACCAATAACTCTGTCTCCTGAAGTGAAAACAATCATCGAGATGCGAGAAGAACCATGATGAATGGTACCATAGTTTAATGAGATTTTCATACTTAAATGTAACGGTCTCGCGAAGTGATAATTGAAAGCAAACATTATTATTCAGTGAATTTAAGTGACCGAAAACAAAAGGACTAATTGTCTTGAATGCGTTCAAGTGTAAGTGAATGAAAAACATGACAATATCCGCAATGGATTCTAATAAGAACCATCGGAGGAGTTCTTGGGATTCCAAGGTAAGATCCAAATCTAAACAAATTATTTTGGCTTATGGCGTTTACTAAACTGGACAGACTAACACAAATACCCACTCGAACAAAAAATCTTAACGGGATTCGCTTGTGAAATGGACTAACTATATTAAGTATATATTCAAAAGAAAATTACTATGAATTATTTACCAACAAACATATTAATTATAAAATTTGTAGGATTCTCCGTTTTAGTTCAGGGAGCAGAAAATCGGTTCAATTAAAATTTCACAAACGTGAATTCCAATTTTTTTTAAATGGGATTGTGTGGTAGATTAGTTTAGAAAGCCAATATTATTTCACTGAAAATCACAGTGCAAATAATTAGTATACAGGGTGTCCGCAAATATATCTACTAAATTTATAATTATCTCCTTAACAAACCCCCTCATACGAAATTTCTCTTTTATTAAGGCATAGTTGATGAAATAAAAGTAAAATTTTGACACCATGTATCTTGGAAATTTGGAACACTTGCTGCATGTTCCTATCTCAATTTTAATGGAAATGCGAAGTCTGTCATCTGTCAAGCGTTGTCGGTTGAACTCCGGACACCCTGTAGAATATATAACATACTAATTGTTTTTTGGATAGCATGGACATATTATTTTGATTTTTAGAATAAATTTCGACAACACTAGGAAAGAATCATATGCTATTGATCACCAAATACCTAATAAATACGGCAATTTAATTTCAAAATTAATTTATTGCAGTACACTGTTTTTTTCTGGTCTATATAATGCAACAACTATCGATACCCAAACACATTTTATTTATACCTATTTATCGTTCTACTTCTACGTGCTACAGTTACAAAACTGGCCACTATCAGCCGTAAAACGATTAGCAAAATCTAACCAAAACCGATTTTACACTTCATTGAACGCTACTTTTCACGTTTCCAAAGATTAACAATCCCCATTTGCCTAGATCTTAATACATTTAATCGCTACCTATACGGCGCCCGATTATATTATTAACAACGTCTTGGAAAATGAAAGTAACTTTGTGTTGTTTAAAATACCACCCGACCATAGTTGGATTTAAATTACCACGATCACGTTTTGTGCCTTAAATAGATATGCCATACCCACAAGCATGGTTTGCAAAATAAAGTATGGGCTTTTTTTTTTAAATTTAAAATTCACGTTACATATTTGGGTTTTGTAAGCCAATTGTGACAAAACGCATTGGAGTAGAATAAAATTCCACCGCATATCAATCCTATAGTAATTTCCGACTAAACAATGCCTTTTGGATAGTCGTTTATCGTTATTATCTATACTTTGGTTGCATAATTCTTAAGGCGGCATAAATAGAGGAAAGTCGTCTTATTTCGGATAATATAACACCAGATGGTTTTCAGTGAAGAGAATTTATGAATATTTTTGCTACGATGTAGTAGGTTGTGATTAGACATGAAAAAGTTTTATCCAATAGGAAAAGTGGGTTCTCATTTCACATATTATTTCCGAATTAGAAGCTATATTCAATTTCTGATCACTCGATATCAAGTATATTAATTATCTTCTATCCAATCCTTATTGTCGTCGATTGTGCGTTTTCTGATAGATATGCAGAGTGTTTCACGAACATCGAAACAGAGGCGTTTTGGGGTATTTTAAGGTCGATTCAAAAAAACCGCTCGGACACGTCAATTTTATATTCAAAATGGAAGGTTTTTGACACCATTGGTATTTCACTAGGGTGCACCCCCTAAGTGGGGTAATTTTTCACCCTTCATTTTTAGATAGGGAAGATGGGTCGAGTGGTAGGTATTTTGATTCTCGTCGCAACTGCGTATTTTATTTTTTTTTGAAAATCGAATAATTAGTTCTCGAGATATTCACTGTCAAAGTTGCCATGAGCTAAATGAGAAACAATTTTCTGGCCCTGTTATTCTCAAATTAACACTTTCCTGACTTTTCTCTCGGTCACGTCAATTTCAATTTTTTCAGAAGCACACAAGAAATGAAAATTGAAGTGTAAGAGAGGAAAGTCAGGAAAATGTTAATGTGAGAACAAGAGGGCCAGAAGATTGTTTCTTATTTAGCCCATGGCAAATTTGGCAGTGAATATCTTGAGAACTAATCATTCGACTTTCAAAAAGATACGCAGTTGTGACGAGAATCAAAATACCTTTAGAACAAGGTATCACTCGACCCATCTTCCTTATCTGAAAAAGAGGGGTGAAAGTCACCCCACCCAGGGGGTGCACAAAAGCAAAATACCGATGGGGTCAAACAGTTTCCCCCTTGAATACAAAAATGACGTATCCAAGCGTTTTTTCTAAATCGACCTTAAAATACCCTAAAACGTCTCTGTTTCGATGTTCGTCATACACCCTGTATAAAGCCAGCATCCCACGCGTGGATTGGCGAGCCTGGCTTGTCGATTGGGCTTGTGGCTCGCCGAACATCAGCTTGTTGATCGAGGCTTGACAAGTTCCTTTGCCTCGTGTCAAATTTACTGACAAAAAGCAGGAAAGTCCAAGACGCGCAAAAAATGGCAAGCATGTCCACTCCCAAGGCGCGTGGCTCATCAAGTCAGGAGCTAGGATTATCAAGTCAGGAGCTAGGATCGTCAACCAAGCGTTTTGGAATGCCGGCTTAAACCAATCCTGGAACCGCACACTCTTCCAGAGTCTTGGCACACCCACCCTCTGGCAGCATTGTCTCTTCCTGTGTTCTCTCGCTTTTTCCTGCGGTCCCTCTTTTCGGTCTCGTATCTGCGTCGCTGTTCTTCAAAAGCTTGTGGTCCGTCATGGATTATTCGACGCCATGAGGGCCTATCATTTGTTGGCGTCTGATATTGATGCCGCACTCTACCATATTCTTTTTAAAAACATCTTTGTAGCGTTTTCATTGACCTCCCTGATTTCAATTTTCCTCCTTCAGTTGACTGTGTAAAGAATCTGTTGTGGAAGACGTATTTCGGACATGCGGAGACCTGTCCAGGAAAGTTGATGCTCAATGATGAGGGCTTGCTTGTTGTTTCGGTTTAAAAACTAATGTTCGTTCGTTGGTCTTGCCATTTAATCCGTAGGATCCTTCTTGGGCAGCGCTGTTGGTATTTTTCTATGCTTTTTATGTGTCTTCTGTAGGTAGTCCATGTTTCGCAGCCATATGTTGGTATTACAACTGCATTGTAGACGCGAAGTTTGGTCCCAGCGCTGATGTTGTAATTGTTGATGACTCTCTTCAGAAGTCGCCTGAACGCTGCGCTAGCATACTTCAATTTCGATTTCAGCTTCAATGGCTGACGGATGGCTCCCAAGATATGGGTAGTGTTCTACGTTCTGCAATGAATTGTTATTTATAGCTATATTTGGGGCTTGGGAATTAGTATTCGGTGCAGATTGGTGTAGAATCTGCGTCTAGTTAAAAAGTTGACCTCTAGACCAATTCTCCTGTACGCCTGGTTGAATGCATTGATAATAGCTTAAATATCTTCCTCTGTATTGGCCATCACGACGTTATCATCCGCATATTGAACTTCAATTATCGATGTCATCAATACTTTCGTCTTTGCTCGTAATCTGTTTAGGTTGAATAGGCCGCCATCAAGCCTGTGTAAGCTTTTTATGAATGAATGAAAAAAGTTTCCCGTTAAATAAAAGCAAGTTTATTAATTCAAAACGAAAATTAGACACGTTTTTTACAAGCTTCCTTCGGCTCTTGTCTTGTTTACAAAATCAATACTATACGTCACGTTTTCTAGATGTCAACCTACAGACAGACACTTGACTTGACATACCAACATAACCTAATTCTGATACTTTAACCACAAATGCTAGCTTTAACTACCAAGAAGGGGATTACATAAATCCGAATTGTATACATCAACATTTCCTCCCAATTCTGCACATATGTAAATCAAATGATATATTACGGATATGCGCACTCGCAAGGAAATGTCCTATCACGCTCGAGAAGCGGCAAGTGCGCGGAAATGTCGGTGTATGTTGGTCTTGAAACGGTTCAGGTTGTAACCTGCAGGGAAAACCGTCGCAGGGAGTTTATTCCACAGCGATGCTGTTCTCCAGAGATATGAATTCTGATATAATGAGGTTCTTGGTGCCTCTAATTTGACAGTAAATTCATGGTTACCGTCTGTTTGACGGGTTCGCCTGGTAGGTGCTACTCTCGGTGGAATCATACGTGCCAACTCTTTCATACTTCATCTTCTAAGTTTGATAACAGTCAACAGATAGCCTCTAGCCGTCTAGTTACTAGTCTTGCTTTTATCACTTTTGCACTACCGTTTTCCATTATAAGTTTTTTTCATGAAAAATCCATTTTTAGTCGATAACCTTTTCACTCTCGGATACACTGTTTTTGGGCACTAAAGTCCATGTTTGATTTTTTTTTTGAGGGCGTTTAACTCATTGTTTATGACGTCTCTCCATCTTGGATCACTACTTATTGCTTCTTCATATGATTGAGGTATTTCTGAAGATAAATCTTGCATTGACAAAGCTAACATCAATTATTTATCGTCTTGGTCATTTAAATCGTAGTCTTGTAATTTCCTGGGTAAAGTCTTTTTTCTTACACTTTTTCTGGTTTTTGCTGTTTCAGATTTCCTTTGTTTCTCAATATTTGGATGTTCTGGTTCTTTCGGAGGTGGAATAAAATCCTCATTGTTTCCATTTTCATCTTCTTTTCATACATACCTATTACATGATGTTTTTGTTGATTTGTCTGTTCATTGAAAACAATATTTTTGCCAATGATTATTTTGCTTTTTTCCGGACCCCAGAGACGATAACCATTATCTATATAACCAGCTAAAATCTTTTTCTTGCTTCTGAGATCCAATTGGTTTTTTCTTTCTTCTTTTGGTATGTGAAATTATGCATAACATCCAGAAACTTTTATTTTTTATAAATTTGGCTTTTGATCATACCAAATTTCTGCAGGAGTTTTATGATCTTTGATGACCGAGGTTTCAATTCTTTTTAACAAATATATTGCTGTTTC